TCCCTGCAGCCACAGTGGGAAAAGTCTACTAGTAATAAGCAAAACATAACTATCAAAACACAGTGGATCTGGCAAAAAATCATCTTTTCTTGTCGATGGCAGAAAAGTGAAGCAGTGTCATAAAGTGATGGATGCGGTGAGAGTCATGGGGAAAGGAGAATGACAACACAAACTTCAGCAGATGAGAGCATGGATGAGAGGAGCTGAGGTGCCTCCCTTAAAGCAACAGTTCAAAGGCCTTTTCTGCACATGCTGAGGCTGGAGTGCTGTCACAATGATAAATCAAAGTCAATAATTATACAAGAATCTTTGTTAAGTTCATTGCTACGAAAGGTATTTATAAATTACCATTCTGTAGTACAGTATCTAGTTTTTATACTAGTTTAGTAGAGCAAGGCACATAACAACAACAAAGCAATCGCACACGGGATTTAAATCAATCATCACCGTACATTAAAAAGAGTGAAGATAAAATTCCTCAGTTTAACCTGGATTTGTATTGTATGAACTGTGACACATCCAGCTTAGTTATATAGCATTTCTTTTCAAGACCCTCATTTTGCAATTGTTCATTATCATTATCAATATCCATTCCCCTTTATAGTACACATTGTGGCAGGAGGAAGAAAGTTAACTACAATAGTCAAATTATGGCTTAGTGAATTATTATTTTTATTTTTTTCACTCATTGCGTATAATTATTTTCATAAGTGACCGACATACAAGAAATGGAGCAACACTTTGTTATGGCCTCACTGAGCTGTGTTCAGATCTGTGTGCCTAAACATGTGAAAAGAGCGGATTAGAGCCACCACCATTGCACTATGAGTTTATTCATGCAAAAGAACAACAGGAGAGAAGGCCTCCATAGACCACAACATCAGTGTCACAGGAGCAGGACAGACACCGCCGCACTGTCTCTACACTGTCTCTACACTGTCTCTGCGCTCTGAGCGTCACATGACCTTCACCTGACTAAAACGAGAGAAAATATGGTGACTTTGATCAGGAATTTACAGCTTGTGGTTGCTCAATGCAAATCTCTAAGGATTAGGACTAAGGGTTATTTTTCCTTCATGAAAATCTATGGGCGTATTGTATTTAAAATTAAGGTTTTTACTAAACAAGGTTCACCTGAAATGTGACTTCAACAGGCCACTTTTACACTCAAATAATCATATACATATACTTTTATAACACAGCTGAGGCTCAGGCTGATTTTCACTTATGTTCTTATATACCCATGTGAACAAAACATAGACTGTATGAACAAAAGTATACATTTAGATAGTATGCATTTAAACATGCAAGATAAGATTTCATTAGGATTGTCCTGCACATGGCCTTTGGAGTTATCAGCCATTCTAATCGTGTTTTGGAAGTAGTCCAAGCGGATTGTAAATACAGTGACAATTAAATACTATAATTCTATGTTTGTATTGGACAGTGTGTATAAAGGAACAGCGGGTGCTGTAAACACACAGGATTTGTCTGTTTTGTCTGTCCATCTGTTGCCTGGTGTCATTGATCCTGCACTACTGAGCGTGTTTTAGTGGTAGGAGAACATGCAAACTCCACACAGTGCCATGTATTATAAGATAAGATAAGATAAGATAAGACAAGAATTATCATTCATTTGGACTAGAAACTGACCCTGATGCAACTCAACATGGGATCTCAAATAGAACCATGTTAAACCATACCTACATGTGAAAGCCTGATCCTGTCAGAACCAATATTATAGATCCATGATCAGACCTCAGAAGCTAAGCAGGGCTGGGCCTGATTGGTTCAGTGATGGGTGACCTCTGGGAACAACAGGTGCCAAAGTACCAAACTGTTGTGTTCTTTCTGTGTGTGTGTGACAGTTTAGCATGATACATGTCCAGAACATTGCTTGTCATATTTCATCAATTGGCTGACAGAAAATGAAATTGTATACATTTTAAAGGCACATGTACTTACACGTGCACGCAGCCAAATCTGAGAAATCTCCTCTTGAACTTGAGGAATGCTATTGTCACTATAATAGCATGTTCTTGAGTTTGCAGTGAAAATCAGAGCTTATGACAAAAGTGGCTTTATTTTGAGCGCATGTTTTCCTCTAATCCAGGAGACTTTAAATAAACCTGAGACGGAGGCAGTGCGCCCGGGAGGAGAACACCAGCTTGGTTGTCTGCCCTTTCACTGAGGTTGTTAGAACCCACAGTTTAGTGAAAATGATCTTCCTAATGGACATGCAGATGATGCTTCTGGATATGATTTACTTTATCCTGCGAAACTCTGTCCGTGTTGTGCTGCGGCCTCGCACTAAGCCTATCGATGGGGAACTGGTGCTGATCACTGGAGCAGGAGGAGGTCTGGGCCGCCTCTTCGCTCAGGAGTTCTGCAAACAGGGAGCAGAGGTAGTTCTGTGGGATGTCAACAGCAGTGCAAACGAGCAGACGGCCAAGCTGGTGCGGGAGCTGGGAGGGCAGGCACACACTTACTCTGTGGACGTGACCAACAGAGATGATGTGTATCAAAACGCAGACAAGGTGAGGAGGGACCTGGGCAGAGACGTGTCCATCCTGGTCAACAACGCTGGAGTGGTGGCAGGAAAGCGCATGCTGGAATGCCCTGACGAGCTGTTGGAGAGAACACTGAAGGTCAACTGCCACGCCCTGTTCTGGGTAAGATTCCCTCCTGAGCACAGAACACTCAACACACACGTTGGCCATTATTGATACATGTTGAACAAGCCAATGAACAAGATGTGTAAGGTTCTTTAACACATTTGGGCGGCACGGTAGCTGAGTGGATAGCACTCTCGCCTCTCAGCAAGAAGGTCCTGGGTCGAATCCTGGTCAGAACAGGGCCTTTCTGAGTGGAGTTTGCATGTTCTCCCTTTGTCTGCGTAGGTTTCCTCCAGGTGCTCCGGTTTCTCCTACCACTAAAAACATGCACAATAGGTATGAATGTAAATGAGAGAGCGAGTGAATGGATGATGGTCCAGTGTGTTCGACGACTCACTTTCGTCATCACCGTGTGTGGAATAATTGGAACAATATCTGAACTCTGACCATTATAAAGCGCTTTCGGTGACCTTGGTCAGTAAAATGCGCTATATAAATAAACGTTACTTACTTACTTACATTCACAAGTCAAACAGGCAGCGAAGTCAAAACTTTTAATCTCTCACCATATTGTGCAATAAAAAGGCTTAGTCCAACAATAGCTCTAGTGTAGTATAAGGCCTGATTTCCTTAAGGGCAGCTTAGTAGTGTACACTGCAAATCAAGAGAAATGTTTCCTTATGTTTAACATTCTGTTTCAGACTGTCAAAGCCTTCCTACCTCAGATGAAAGCGCAGGACCATGGGCACATTGTGACCATTGCCAGTGTGCTTGGCCTCTTCAGCACTGCCTGTGTCGAGGTTAAATATGAAAGGGGGGACCAGATAGAATTTAAGCATTTAAAATAAAATATCCTAATTATATCTTTGTTTGAGGCAGGATTACTGTGCCAGTAAGTTTGCAGCTGTGGGATTCCATGAGTCTTTGGCCCATGAGCTTTTGGCTGAGCAGGTGGAAGGCGTGAAGACAACTCTGGTGTGTCCTTACATTGTGGACACAGGCATGTTCGAAGGATGCAAAATAAGGTCTGGTCACATTTACTTAACAAAACAGCATATTAGTACGATTATATATTCACCCATTACACATGAGTGAGTATATAAAGGTGGATCACAAAGTGGAGCCTAATGTTCCAAAAGTAATGTGTTTGCTGCCCTCTACAGGACCGAAGTGGAACTCTTCCTTGCTCCTCTGGACCCGCAGTACTGTGTTGAGCAGGCGATGAACGCCATCCTCATTGATCAGCCACTGGTGTGCATCCCCCGCCTCACATATCTGCCTGTCCTCTTCAGAGCGTGAGTACTACCGTTTCAAGAGCCAGTCACCATGATGTACATCACTAAAACCCCTTTATTTCCTCAGGTTGTTGCCATGGGAGTCCAATGTGATTGCATACAGGTTCATGGGGTCAGACAAGTGCATGTATCCCTTCATTGATTCTATGAAACCAAAGCTGGAGTCTGCTCCCACCATTGAAGTGGCATAAGATACGACCAAAGCTACACTTCATGTATATTCTATTTATATTTAATACTGCTATTAAGCCGAGTTTCAATTGCATGAAGGGATAACCAGTGATAGGCCAGAGGCGTTTTAATGTCAATAGATGGCACTCAGCCAGGTGCTCATTACATGCACAGAAAAGCTCCTTATTCCTGTTTAAATAGTCCTATGAATTGAAACTTGACTTGGCCTTAATACCTTTTTAAAATTGTGTAAACTGTGATGTTCACAATAATAAAGTTGTTCAACCTTTTGACCATCTGTCCATCAAATTTCTCCTCTGCAACCACATCTTTTTGATTGACTACCAAATGACTTTGATTTTGATTACCAAATGCGAGTGATTAGTTAACACAACACATTTTTGAATAGTGAATGTAATGCTCTAACAAACGTAGACAATCAGGATAATAAAATACACAAATCATGAGTCTTTGGTTAGTGCAAAAGAGCACATTTAACATTTTATTACCATGTGAGGAAAGGGATGGGAGGCTGACATTAGGAAGGGTAACTCCAGGGGGCGCTCCTGCAGCACAGAGATCAGAGACAACAGTGAAGCACAACTACATTGAATACATCTTCCTTCCAGCCCTACATGGTAAGAGTCCATCATTTCACTTGCGGTTGTTTTGATAAAGCACTGTGGGAAACATCAACAGAGGTCCTCCTGCTGCACCCTAGACAAAGAGACTAACAAAGAAACAAACCTTAAAATGACGACGACCTGGACAAGGAATGAAACGTTTAGCACTTAAAACAAGAGTAAAAGAAGCTAGCTTAGCCACAAACAGAAAAAAACTTTCACATTTCATTTATTTTCTTTACACTGTCAATGCCTCAATGCCTAGGATGCAGCATATATTCTACAAAGCAACATAAAATACCATTGTCCAATTAAACAATACCAACAAGTAGAAACTATTTCTTTCTATTAATCTTGTTTAACCGTGAAGTTTTAAGAACCTAATCGTTATACAGAGCTCAAAAAGATAACCGGAACACAGTGTGGATCTTTCTCTAGTGCTTCAGCTCACAACCAGAACTGAGCCTTTACACAGTGCCATCCAGGATGTGTGCCATTGTGTTTGAGTTAGCCAGTTTGATGCCATCTTCCATTTCCTGCTTTACACACCTGGGACAAAAGCACAATAGCACTTGAGGATTCTTCAGATAGCACAGCAGCATGTAAGGAATTCATAACCAAATTCTGCTGTACTGACCCAGATGCTGGTCCATTCCCTGTTCTTTCATTTGCCTGTTGGTCCAACTCCGAGAGCATCTTCAGTATATTTAGTGCAGCCTGTTGGAATCAGAGTAGGCGTTATGACCGGTCACGGCACTGAAGTACAATGTAGTACAATGAGTAAACAAACCATATCATGACAGGATTCTACATCTTTTCCGATGCCATGACTGATAAGTGGAGGCTGTGAAGAGCAATTGATAAGCGATACAAACTCGTTCTTATTATTTTTGGGGAAATCTTTGTAGTCCACCTAAAAAAGCAACACAAAAAATATATTAAAAAGGGTCCGCATGTAGATCATTACAACCCAACTTTAGTAGTAACTTTGGGCATAAAAAGGAAAAATATGATTTGTCTATGTTGACCTATCTAGGGATACATGTAATTTTAAATTTTATCTTGACTCTACTTTAAAGGCCCTGTTAAAAAAGCAATTCCCTTTTCAACCCGTATGGGAAAAGATAACGCTCTGGTTTTGAGGCTTAATAGCTTCCTGCGTGGCCAGAGGCTCTTCTTGGACTATATTGATCTACAATTTAATTAAACATCATTCAGTAAATTGCTTTGAACTGTGATGGCTGTGTGAAAAATACAATCCACTTGTCTACCATGATTTTCCTTCTAAAATAATGGTTAAACAAATGCATATTGGGTATGATCTCTGTACATAATACATTGTTCTGTACCTGCAGCCCCTGCACAGTGGACAGAAAGTGGAGCTGCTCCGAGGGTCGGGTGAGGGGTCCATGGGGCAGTTGGTTCATGTTGTTCTTGTTCTTCAGGATGTTTTCAGCTGTGGGAGACGTTCCTGCATATAGCAGCTCGTTGGCGATCATGGCAGTGAATGTGGCCTTTACCGGGTTTGGCTGAATACGACTGGGCGGAGGTCCCTGACAGACACCGACTGCCTGAGCCACCTCCGGTACCATGGGCAGGATCCCGGCGGGAAGCTGCTGATGGCTCATGTAAGGCAGCCGAAAATCCTCCTCTTTTGTGCCTATTGACGACAAAACATATTTATATGAATGTATTCACAATGAGAATTTCATGCAAACTTCAGTAGCTGTTGGATTCTCAAATTTCTCATACCATTTGCAGCCTCTTCAGCAGAACCCGGCTCAAAGAAGGTCACTTTCCGTCCATCACCGGGTTTTTTCACTGGGACCTGTATGAACACTAATTAGTCGCACTGGTAACCATAATCAACCAAACACTGCATTGGACAGCACCTTTTCTTCAGTCTTGATTGCCGGTTTTGGGGGTTGTGGTTGAGGCACTTTATATCCCAAAAGTTCAAGCATTTTCTCAGCAGCATTTCTCTTGGCCACCTTCTTGCTCGGTCCCAATCCCTCCGCGAACTGTCCCCCGACTGTCACCTACCAAACACATGAGGCACACAATAAGCAAACGCACAGACAAGCACAAGGAACACGCAAAGATAACTGCAGCCGACCCACCTGCATAACAAACTCCCTACGCCGCGGCAACCCCCTCTCCGTCACCATAGTGTACTCCGGTTCCTTCTCTTTATTGGCCTGTTGGATCTGAGCCAAGCGGCTGATGGGATTCATGCCCTGCCCATACTCTGGACTTGTCTGCAGCTGTACACATCCCATGTCAAAATTCTTCCCCACATTTTTACATACAAGATTTGTCATTTAACTACCTTGACAATGGATTTTGTTTTCTTTTTGATGCGTGGCAGAGCCTTTTCCACAGTTGGAATATGAGGCAGCTTTTTCAACTCGCCCAGAACTGCAGCAGCTGCCAGCTTCTTGGCAATCTTTTTACTTTTCCCCTCTCCCTCTCCAATGAATTGTCCTACTGTAACACGCACCACAAAGCTCTTCATGTGAGGAGGACCGTCTTCCTTTAAAACCTAAAAAGAACATTGAATGAAGAGATACGGGAGCCTGAACAGGTCTGGAACAAATTTTAACTATCGGCAAATTCCTAATACCTCAAAGCTGACCGGTAAGTTGCGTTTAAGTGCAGTTTCAAACACTTGGCTGATTTCAGACTTGTTGAGATTTTCCTCCTCTTCTTCCTCTTCCTCTCCATTCATCTGTTTGAATATAGAGCCAATATGGTTTGTCATTGAATTAAAAGAATCTAGTACATGATTGCCTCGCTGCCGGTACCTCAGACAGTTCTTGTAACATGGGCTCTTTCTGGAGCACCTTCAGAGCTTTGATTGCAGCGTCATGTTTAGCTAGCTGCCGAGTGCGACCCTTGCCTAAAAACTGCTGCCCACCGACTGAGAGCTCCATGTGATATATCATTGGTCCCACCGGAGGGAAAGGGTAGTAGTACCTGCACAACAGCAAGTTATATTTGAAAGTTTATCTACAAGAAGAAAGGTATTCAGGATATGAGAGCTTACTGTTGCATAGAGCGTGGGTACGGCCCCGGACCACGGACATTGTAGTTGAAGTTGGGCGGTCTCATCGCAGGATAAGGGTCCAGAGATTTGTACATGGGCTTTCTACCAAGTTTCATACAAATGGCATTCAGCTCCATTATTTGGGTGATGCCATCTGTTGCACATAAATAAACAAAACAAAATTAGTAGATATCTATATGTTGAAGCAAAAGTATGAGTAAGTAAGTAGTAAGTAAGTAAGTTTTTATTTATATACCGCCTTTTCACTGCAGATCAGAGTCTCAAAGCGGTTTACAATTGTTAATTTTGGGCATTTGTCTCTCACTCCACACAGAGATGGGAGCGGGGTCACCAGTACAGGAGGCGCATGCCAGAACTATTGGACATATTTTTAGTGTTAGGGGAAACCGGAGTACCCGGAGGAAACCTACGCAGACACGGGGAGAACATGCAAACTCCACTCAGAAAGGCCCTGGTCCGACCGGGATTCGAACCCAGGACCTTCTTGCTGAGAGGCGAGAGTGCTATCCACTCAGCCACCGTGAGGTAAGAGTTAAAATTCCTGGGACCAATAAAAAGTATGAGGTGTCACCTGGAATCCTTCCAGGGGGGCGTTGGGCCCTCATTGTCGGTTTGGGGAGTGTGGTTTCAGACAGAGCAGCTGAAGCTGCCGAGTGCTGTGCTTTCTTGATGCTGGTTCCTTCTGCCTCCCAGTGCTGATCTCCCAGTGTGAGCCTGACAGAAAAGATCTGACAACAAACAGGACAAGATAAACCAGTAGCTACAAAAGTCGAAGTGAACGATCTTAATTCCAACTAACCTTGGAATGAGCCGGCCCCTGCTCACTCAGAAGCTTATATTCAGGTTGCATTTTGTTGAAACGGGCTAACTCATTCACCAGACACATTGGGGTCTTCTCTTTAGGGTTTGCCATGTTTGAATCTACAATGACGTAATATTATGACAATGCATGTCCTTTTCATCCAGGTAATCCAAATACAGAAAAGTATGTAGATCTGTTGTTCATTGCACATGTTGAAGGCTGTGGAAGTTTACCTGTGTTAGAGCTGAAGGCAGTGGCAGAGCCTGCAGGCAGGGCTGAGCTCCTCCCTGGCTGGCTGGCGCTCTCTGATGGCAGAGTGCCAGATGCACAGGGGATGCTGTAGCCTGGCTGCTGCTGTTGCCCCAGGGGCAGGGGGGCAGGAGCAGCAGGCATGGGGCTCGAAGGACACTGGAATTGCATTTGAGACATATTCGTGGGCTTTTCACAATCACAGCAGTGCAACAGCTGATTGGGGGTCTGAAACAAAGTTCTGTATGTAAAACAACAACACAAAAATATTAATAAAATGTGCTCTTTCTGCATTGGCTTTAATTGACAACAACAATCTAAATAATAGAATATTACAGGAATTGCTTTGAATTAAAAACAAACCATTAGTTCCAAATCAATACAAACATGTACGGTTTGAAACCTTGTAAAATGACTATTAATGTCCGTAAACATTTGGCGGCACCTCCTTCAGAAATTACAGTTAAGTAGTATTGTAATTCATACTCATTGGACAATGTTCCAGGAGCTCTGGGACATCTACAAGTGGCTTGTAGCTTAACTTCGTGCCTTCCAGTCTGGAGGAGATAAGGCTGATGGCGGAAAAAAGACTCAATACAAACGGTTTTCAGCAATAATTGTTTTTCAAACTCGTCCTAAAATGTTAAATCTGTAATCGTGTTTTTTCAGTATTTGGGTGTCGCCCCTGGACGTTTTAGGCCGGGGAGGAGACATTTGGAAAAGCCGACGCTAGCCTTTAGCTTCTAGCCAAAACGCAGGTGGTCCGTGTAGTTCAGCACCAACACAACATGCTGCAAACGGACACCATGCAACAAGCTCAACGTGATATTGTAGAAGTCACTTGTGAGTTTCAACGTTTAACTTGTTTCCTGTTTTATTGAATCCAACCTCGGACTCTGCAGCTAGCTTCCACCGAGGCTAATCCCGACGCTCGACCAGTCTGCGCACAAAACTCACCCAGTCGCTCTTTGTTCACTTTTGATTTACTTCATAAGACAGGTCCATGTGTATAGAAGCTGCCTTTTGTTAACAACCAGTTTAAGAGGCTGTTAAACGTGTATATTATGTTAAAACGATGACCATAGCAGAGATGGACATATGGACGACAGGGCAAACACTAAAGAGAATGGTCCCATGCACGGCCAGCCTCCCGGAAGTGACTCAGACACACCGGAAGATGGATAACAATATAAAATACAAATACATGCATCTGATTGCAAAGTAAAGGTAAATCACTTGACTAAAATAGTAATGGGTAGATGTACCTGCACGATGCACTGGCACATTGAAAACAACTGCAGTTTTTTCCACTTATTTTACTGCATTGCAATTGTGAGTTCAAATGAGATAAGGTCCTTCCTCCCTGCTGCTGTCAGGCTGTACAACGAGAATGTGTAACAAGAGTCTGTACAAATGTCACTAGTCACTTTACCTGTTATTAGTATCACTGTATTATTACATATCCATCGGATATTTACCTGTTATTAGTATTACTGCATTATTACATGTCCATCTGATATTTCTGCCATTCACTAGTCACTTTACCTGTTAATATTATATCTGATGTTTATTCTGCTCATACTCATATTCTCATATTCTACGCTGGTAATGTACAATATACACATCTGTAAATACTTCTAAACCAAGTGCAATTATAGCCCCAGAGTTTATTTTATTCTTTATTTTTATTCTATTGTCTATTATCTTAAATAATAAACTTATTTGGTGTGTTCAATCTGAGTGCCCTTATTTCCTTCTTTCTCTGCTGTAATGTGCGCAATAATTCTGAAATTTCTCCACTGCGAGACGAATAAAGGAATATCTTATCTTAAGATAAACGTTATTGATCTCACAAGTAAGGAATTTTTATTTATATACCGCCTTTCACAGACCAGATTCACAAAGCGGTTTACAATTGTTATTTTTGGGCACTTGTCCTCTTACTCCACACAGAGATGGGAGCGGGGCCAGTACAGGAGGCGCATGCCAGACCTATTGTACATATTTTTTGTGGTAGGGGAAACCGGAGTACCCGGAGGAAACCAATCAAACTCCACTCAGAAAGGCCCTGGTCCGACCGGGATTTGAAACCCAGGACCTTCTTGCTGAGAGGCGAGAGTGCTATCCACTCAGCCACCAATGGAGAAATTTACAATTTTTGTAAATTTCTCTACTGTGAGATCAATGAAGTTTAGCTGATCTTATCTTAAATGGTCTCAATTGAAAAAATAAATATAAAGTCCTTGCTTGTCCCTTGACTGTTTCTGCCATCTGTTTTTCACTGTACATAAACACATATATACCTTAACATGCATTCTAGTTTTGAATTGGAATAATAATAAAATCATAAAACTGTATTACATGTTGCAGTTGTGATGGATAAAATGAACAAATCATTGATATTTTGGGTGTCCATTTATTTTCATACAAAGCTAAAACAGTGTTTTTGCATCATAATTCAGAGGTGTAAAAAAACAACAACAACAAAGCTGTGACAATTAGCCAACTGTTTTCCATCATCAAGCCAATAAATATAAAAGATCACAACAGGTTATACATTATTGCTTATAGTATGGCCTAGAATCCTGACTAAAACTCCAAAGCTTCACAATAAAAAGCAACCTGTGTGCTGGTTACATTGGTCTGTTATAAGTTATAAGCCTGACAAATATTCAAGGAGTCTCTCATCATGAGGTCACGTAGTCGCCACAGTGCATCTGCCATGGTGTTGTGGGCCCCTTTGCTCTTCAGCCAGTGCACAGGCAGACGACTCTCTTGCTCTTTGGTCAAGTGACTCTCTCGTCGGTGTACTGCAAGAGAAAATACATATTATACACAAATTATTTCAAGATAATATATATTTGATGCAGTTAGGGGTGGCTGATTCAACAATAAAGTTAAATCTAGATTTTATTCCCCTCTTTGGTCTATTTTATTGTTTATAATATATAGTTTTACAATAATCAAAGTATTGTTCAGACGCTGATCAATCAATAATGTGCCTTTTCTGAAAACATTTCTGTGCTGATTGCCTGTTGTATACACTCGCTCAAGATTCGAATAAACAAGAGACCCTTAGAAGCAGAGGCCAGAACATGTCCTTGATATAATGATTTTGACAATTTACACATGGTAAATTTTTAAACAGGTCAATAAATCAAATTCATTCTATTCATTACTCAGCCCAACATGCGATGACCCAAAGTTTTGGATCCAAGAGGGTTACTTACCCCTAAGAGTTTGGTCCCATTTGCTTATGGTGGTCGATTCTGCGTTCAAGCCCTCGATGTATTTCAGATAGGCCTCAGAATGGAGCACCCTTTGAGTTTTTGGAGGGGGGGCCACAAACATGGGGGGTGTGGGCTGACCCTGTCCAGGGTAGGGTGGAGGAGCAAGCTGTCCTGGGCTGTACATGCCAGGCTGAAACGATGGGAAAACATTACACATGTAATTGTTTGTTTTTATATACACAAACACCTGCACCTATGGAAATATGCTGTACCTGTTGTATGAAATTCCCTTGTCCTGGGCTTCCTTGCATGCCATTCATTCCTGGGCCTATAATTCCTGAAGATTAAAAATATTAGAATATGGTAGAAACAAGACCAATTGTGTTAACATGAAGGTTGTGTTACATGCATTATGTGTGTTAATTATTTTTGAGAGTTGTTGTGACATAGACTAATGCAAATGTAAGGTTACTCTGACCAGGCGTGTACACCAGGTAAACCCTCCAGCAGCAGAGACGGCTGGGACTGTGCCCTTACCCTGATGGGGCATGCCTGGGTATCCAGGCATGTGGTGAAGGTGATGAGGCAGGTGGGGCATCCCAGGGGGATGAGGTGACATAGTGGCTACACTCAATAAGCCCTCATGAGGGCCCTGCATGGACATGTAAGGTGGACCGTAAGCTCCCATCATGCCTTAGGAGAGAGGGTGAGGAGAACACAACATGTTCATGCATAAGTGACATGCAGCTAGAAAATGTAACATAACATGCACTACAGATGACACTACTGCCGCTCTCTCAAAAGCCACTTAAACATTCCAGCAAAGTAGGCCTAAGATGCAAATAAAAATCCTTTTTCTTGTGCTGATAAACATTATTCGTGGAACCAACATGGCGCAATAATTTCATACCAGGTCTTCATGCCTGAGCATTGACAACTAAAATATTTGTGCATAACTCAACTCTAACCAGCTATAGTCTACAAAAGTAGCATGTGAGAGAGACATTGATGACACAATGAGTATGTTAGCTTGTAGAATGTAAAATAAGCCTCCATGAAAATGTAACAAATGCACAAGCAAACATGCAAACAATAACATGCAGTTTAAATGGTATTGCAAATAAAAGATTTATGTGATAAAACATTACACTACAATGAACAAATACAACAGGGAAGTTCAGGTTTATGTTTAAGGTTTAAACTGAATCCTTTGCTGATGTAATAAAACACTAAACACAAAGCCGTATTTGTTCAGCCTTCTGTCCTGCTGCCTGAAGTCAAACTTGTGCTGTCTCAGAGGGGTTACCTGATGGGGTCATTCCCAAAGTGCTGGGTGAAGGCACCACGCCCATCAGCGCCCCAACAGGGGTACCTGCTCTAGGGGACACTTGCTTCTGGGGGGGCCTCTCCCGCTCCTGTTGCTCCACAATCTTGGCTGCACGCTCTGAGAAAAACAATTTTTACACTCAAATTGGTATGAAGTAGATTTGTCAGTTCCATTTAAAAAGGCAAACCAATATATATATGTTCATGTTGCACACACATACTCCATCCTTAGACAACATCTGAACCGTTGAACCGTGAACGCTCACCTTCATAATCGGCTTTTTTGGTGGCTTCCAGATTCCTCCACTCAGTTCCCACCAGACGGCTGAGTTCCCCAAAAGAGAAGTCGGGGTGCTGGGCCTTGATCACAGCTCTCATCTCGCTGCTGAACAGGATGTATCCGCTCATGTTGATCTTCCTCTTTGCGCCTTCCTTCTTTGAGAGCCCCTTTATCTTAGGAGTAGACTAAAGATAGTGTTGTATTTAGTGCCTTGCCAGATAATTTACATTGAACAATCTCAAAATGCATGGTGTTTTGTTTAATAGATTAATTTCAGATGTCTTATCGGAGAACTATTATCCTTATACTTTTGAAATTACATAAAAAGACAAACTTAGTAGTTGTACCAGGGAAGGAGTGTACTGCATCATGTCCATGTCACTGGACACAGGTGTTTGCATCTGAGGCATCAGAGGAGTCTCCGAGGAGGCTTCATCATCGTCCATGTCATCCATGTCATCGTCCTCCAAATCTGCCAGCTTCAGCTCCAGCTCCTCAATCTTCTTAGTCAAGAAGGGTGACGCCTCCTTTTGAGGCACTATCACCTTTCTAAATATAAAGAAAATACAATTTTGGACATTCAAACCGGTTGAGTCTTGTGTAAAGACAGTTCCTAACATCATTCATTTAATATACCTGAAATAGTAGATTTCATCTTCAACCACTTTGGGTGAATATGAGAAGCGCTTGAGTCCCTTGAACTTTTTCATTTGCTTCTCAGTGTCAATGTAGCGGCTCTCACACAGTAACACATGCTCCTCTGGGATCTCAGTGGGTCTGCAAGACAGGTAGTCTTTGAATGAAGACACCATGCACTTGCCTGCAAAAGAGCAGCAAAAATAGTTAGAAGGCAATAATGAGCCTGGAGATTAAGATTCTCTAAACTCTGGCAAAGCATTCAATAGAATTTATCATCTGAACCCAAATACACCTTGTATATGAGTAAATACATTTCATGTAATTTGATTGATTCATGTGGAAATTGTATTTACAAAGCTATAACCATATATTACAGGTGGAGAAGTATTTGTTAAACAAATTTAAGAATGGAAATGAAACTCTCACCTATGACACAGGTCATCAGGAGGGTCTCCTCCAGATTGCTCAGAAACACTTCTTTCTTGTAGAACATTTTTGTGGGTTCATGCGCAGTCTCCTCTGGATGAATGAAAATTGGGCCAAAGAAAAGCACATTTCCATTCTGCCTCCATAACTTTTCAATCCTGCAGACATGTATAAACAGCAGTGTTAATATGCAATAAGTTTGGGAGCAGCAAATTATTTTCCATAGCGTTTGACCTACCTCGCCACCCTGGGCTTAGACAACCCATGTGACTGAATGTACACACAGTCTCCCACTTTCACCCATGTGTTGTTAAAGCGCAGCTGCTCGTAATACACACAGCCAGGATCTCCACTCATCTCCATCAGGACTTCCTCCTTCTCCTTAAAACCGCAGGGCATTCAGCTTTGGTTTAGCATTCCACTCCTCATTATTGACTTGAAACATGATTTAAATGGGCCCTGACCCAACTAACAAACTTCTACAACTCACCTTCTCCATAAAGCTGCTGCTAGTTGCATATGAAATTGCCAGTTGCTTGTCCTGGTCCGGTTTGGCAAACATAGAAGCAACTCTGACAACCGGAAGAGGCGCATCTCGTTGTATAAACTTTACAGAGCTTGTTGGCATTGCCCATATCTTGATCTTCTTAAACGTCTTGTTTCTGGCGGTGTAGCGAGACTCACACACATGTATATCCTCTGGTCGAAAACCTTCAGGCTGGAGTTTGAAATAGTCCTAAATCCATCAGAGAGAAGCCGGTTTAATGTTAACAGCTCTGATTATCACCATTATTATAACTTAAGAGGGAGACTTACTTTGACAAACATGACCATACACTTTCCCATAACTTTACTGATGGGAACTTTGTTGTAGTAGTCACCTTTGAAAACCTCTCTTTCCAAGAACTTTCGTGTGGCCACATGAAATGTTTCACTGGGTCTATAAAACCAACCGCCATAGAGCCACTTCTCACCTAGACACAACACAATGTTTACGACGGTACAACAAAGAACCAAAGAACACTCAGTGAATATAAAATAATAAAAGCAGTGGAAGTTGTACCCTTTTCGTCCTCCCACAGTCGTTCAATGCAGACAATATGTGGCTTTAGTTTTGGCTCTGAAGGTTCCACATAAACAAAGTCTCCCACACGATAAGTGCTGTTTTCAAAGCTGCAGTGCTGTTTGTACACACGCTCTGAATCAGACTCAGATTGCCACGCCTCATTGGATGAATCCTCACTTTTACCATTACCTGTTTTAAGACAATAAGTAATGTTTAAAAAGTTCTTTGATGTATCCCAAAAGAAGACTTATACAAACCCCTCTGCTCTTCTTCAGCCTCCTCAGCCTTCTTCTGGCGGTCTTCTTCGATCTCTTTGGGAATTTTCTCTCTCTTTTCTTGCTCCACATCATTGTGGAGGTGTTTCATTGTGTAGTTGAGTGCAGTTGACATCAGAATTTCTCCATTTTTGCATAGTTCATCCCTGATCTTTATAAAAAACTGTTGCAGCTCAACAGCATCTTCAAATATTTCTGAATCAGTTCTAAAAAAAAAGAGTACAATAATAAATGTTTTTTTTTCAAGTGTGATAAAACAAACTCAACAATCATTCAAATTACCTGTTGAGTTTTCTTGCTTTTTCTAAAACTTCAAACATTTGCTCTTGGAAGAGATCTAGTCTCCTGTAGCGGCCTCTCTCCACGTTCATGCGGACCACCTCCAGGTTAAGTGGGGGTTTGTCTGGAGTGGCTGGATCCACAGCTGGGATCTCTGCTAGGGAGTCGCTGTAGCAGCGACCCTCCTCGTCCTGGTGTCCCATCACAGACACAAACAGGTTCCTGATGATCTCTCGCACCTGTGCTCCAACAGAAGGGGGTCCGGAGTCTTCTGTCCCCTCCTGCTGTTTCCTGGTCTCTAGCAGGACGCGGTGCAGGACCAGAGCATCTCGATAGATCAGAGACTCGGGCTCATTGTACATGCAGGCGTTATTAAACATCAGGGCAAAATCCTCCACTAGAGAATCTATGTCCTGGTAGCGTCCGCCTGCCATGTGGCTCCGGATCCGCTCCATGTCGATGGGCCTCTTGATGGTGGCATAGTAGTCGGGTAACTCTGATCGAGACGGAAGACGGAGGAAGATTGTGCTGAGACGCCTGCCTCTGCGATCTGTGTAGTTTCTCACCGCTTCATAGACCTCATTTAACTTCTGCTGGAGAGGAGTGAGATATTTGGACTTCTTTGGGGAGGCACCACTCTTCCCTTGCGCACACAGGAACACGCACTAGTGTCATTATAGATGATCATACATATATATTTATATATCGTTAAACACCGAGAGCTTACTGAGTTTGATTTTGGGGGATCCCACATCTTCTTCATCAGGTGCAGGTCCTAACTCCTTGCGTCTGTCAATAATTATCTTCTCCAAAATATCAGCATCATTATAAACCTACACAAACCAGATGTATTAGAAACCCAACACAAAAACTAAAAATGAAAAAGACATTGCGCACCTGTGAGCCCTCCTCGTTGTAATGTCTGGCATTGCGAAACATTAGCTTCATGTCGTCCAACAGTGCTTCCTCTCTGTTGTAGCGGTCAGATTTGATGTTGGCCTCAATGGTTTTCAGGTCCATGGGCTCGAGGATGACTTTGTAGTAGTCTGGGTAATCCTTCTTTGAAGGTTTGACCATAAACATCTCACATAAGCGACGGTGAGTCCCTGCTTCTTTTGCCTCCATCACTGCTGCGTATAATGCCTTCATTCTCCCCTTTTTGCCTTTTCTATAACTATAAATCAAAATATCAACAAGCTATTGAAAGTGTATAATTATAGAGGACATTGTAAATGAAAAAGAAAAGTTACACTTTTCGTTTGACACTTCCAGCATCAGACGATAATATACTGTCTCCATCATCTTCATCTCTTCTCATAAGTTCTTTCTTTTTAGCCTAAAAAAACAGAAAATTCCATTAAGCAAAGTGGTTTTCTGGTCAAAAAACAAACTCTGCAAGACTGAAAGAGGCAATCTCACCTGCAGGATCTGCTGAAGCCTAAAAGCACGCTTGTATATGCTGGAGTTGGGCATATTGTAACGCTTTGCATTCTCAAACATCAAATTCAAATCCGCTTCAATTTGATCAAGATTGTCATAGTCGCCGGATTTCATTTTTTGCCTGAAATATTTTTACAAAGACATTCATGTAGTTAGCTGACATGACTTATTCCATGGTATGTTTAAATCATTAGACATCATATCGTTATCAACTTGAGCATTAAAAGCCCAGAAAGGAGAGCATGACATTAAGTAGTTACAATGAAAGTAAATGAAATCCAGATCACTTCCTCATAAGGCACACTCCATCCATATTAAACTGTATATGGTTTATACTTTCACTTTTAACTTGCCTGATCTGAGTAATTGAAATGGGATTCTTGATTCGTTGATAGTAGTCGGGGTATTCACGACGAGAGGGGAGTTGCTGAAATGGTTCTGAAAATGGTTGACCCTGGCTGTTTCTGGAGGTTCTTATGGCTTCAAAAAGCTGGAATATGGGGTTCACAGCGTCTACAGTGGAAGATTGACTTTCTGACTCAGACTCCCCTTCATCAAAACCCATAGATACTGTAAATATAAAAATGTATATTAATATGCAGCCAAAATGTATTACTACTTTATTTGGTATATTTGAAATGTTATTATTCACCGGACATCCCAGGGTCATCCTCACTCTCAGATCCATAATGGAGAGTTGTGCCAACACCAGAGAGCTGATCGGGCTGACCAGACTTACGATTTCTAGAGTTGTTTTGGATCATATTTTTTTTTTAAAATCGATAGATCATAGACATGACTCCTCCAAACATACCTGATGCGAATACTGGATTTAGTTGGCTCCCCATGCTCAATTTCTGCCTTTCGCTGCAGGAAAACTTTTTTGATAGCGTTTGCATCCTATAAAAAAAATGTAATGTAAAATTATAAGAGGGAAAAAGTCCAATTTAATGAATATAGAAAACGAAATAATTTACCTTAAAAACCTGAGATCCTGGTTCGTTGTATGCTTTGGCATTTTTCACCATGAGATCAATGTCCTTGGCCATAGCATTGACACTCTTATAAAATGAATACTGAAATAATAGATGTTGCGTTTATAAAGACTGAGCTAAAACATGATCAGTAATTGACAAAAACAACACGTAAACATTACCTGTATTCTTTGAGTAATTGTTCTGAGGTCAATGGGCTCCTTAATAACAGCATAGTAGTCAGGATAATGCTACAATATAAACACATACATTAAAATGAGTAAAATGCGTCATGAATCAAGTTGAATCACAGGCTCAGGAGACAATATGTGACAATCTTACCACTTTGGAAGGCAGTTTCTGGAAAAGCTCACTGATGGCGCGCCCTGAGGGATCAGAATGAGAAACAATGGCTTCCAGGAGTTGTTCTAACACCTCTTTCAAACTCGCAGTTGGGGTCTTAACGAGAAATAATACATTGTTATAAAAACACATGCAAAGTGAATTACCTATCTATTCATAGACATTTCAGAAGTACCTCCTCCTCTGTAGACATCCCAGTATTATCCATGTCGTCACCATCTTCCTCATCATCATCATCGGCTCCAGGTTGAACAAACTCATTTCTCGTTTGCAGATACACTTCCCACAATTTGCACGCGGCTTGGTATTCCTCACTGTCATTCTGTGTTAAGGTCACGCTACTATAAGCAACCTTATATACACAACATCAATGCACGGTAGTATTTGTAGTGTTTTGTACCTGGAAGAAAGACTTGGCATTGTTGAACATGAGTCGAAAATCTGCAGTCAGATGCTCAACCTCGTTATAATCCTCCGACTTCAGTTTGGATTGAATCTTTGTCATGTCGATTGGCTGAGACACCACGTCATAGTAATCCGGCTGATTCCTGTGCATATTTCACGTTAAAGACAATAACACATGATTTTAGGATGCTACTTGCAAATGCTTAGAATACTTAGAATAATTTGGTAGGTAAGTTAGTAATCATGTGTTCACGTTTCCTAGCCAACTTTTGCTCATAAATATGTAATAACACATTGAAACAAAATGTACTTAAGCTCATAAACTGACCTACCTAAACAGGTTAATGATGATGCAATGAACTTAAGATACAAGAACCATCTTATTCGTCTCACAACGGGGGAAATTTCGATTTTGCACATACAGGACAATAGTAGGAGCACACAATACAAATAGCTGCAATGCTTCTTAATTAGCTTTCAAACTGACCTCCTTTTTGGCACCCTTAGGAAGTGTTCAGACAGCTGCCTCCCTTGTCGATCCTTATAGTCTCTGACAGCGTTGAAGAGTTCATGACATACAGCAATCTGAAGGGGAAATACGGGATATTCAATCCAAACAACTGGTTTCAACAACTCTAAACACTGAATATAGGTGATGTTAAACAATATCCAGTTGTTTACCGTGTCTACGGGAGGGACATTTGAGACTCGTTTTCTTTTCCGTCCACTTCCAGGAGTTGAGGAGGAGACGTCGTCCAGGTCTGCCCCTCCACTGACGCTGCTGGACGGGGACACAGCTCTCCTCCTCTTCGCAGACATCTCTACTGGATATTCACGCGTCCAGCTGAAGTTTAAAAAAAAATGCATTTAAACGTAAAGTTAGGAAAGATCAACAGATTCCCACATAGCGTTGAGAGTTGAAATCACTACGTCTGAACCCCGTAAACGCACGACGTAAACAAGTCATTACAGGAGGTTTATAATCTGTGTGTGAAACAAAGCATTTGTTAGCATCGTTAGCTTTGTTAGCCTCCTAGTATCGTTTTCAGAGGGATATCTAAGAGCACAGGACACATGGTAACGAATACAAACGCAAACAAGATCGAAGAGCTGATGTACTGTGAATCTCACCAAAAGGATCACTTTATTTCCCTGAGCGAGTATGGAGCAGCTGCTTTGTTTGAAACTACAGAGCACCGGAAGTGATAATTGTTTGTATGAGAAGTGCGTAGCATCTGGGTGGTCACTGCCCCCTCAGGGCTGGAGTGGTATTACAGCTAATGCACTGGGCATGAATGAAGTACGAGTTATTATAATAGATCCATGAGTACGAGGCTCTTTGGATCTAGTTCTCAAAAGGGGATATACCATGGATCTATAATAATAACCGGATGTACTGACTGGAGCCGATGATAAAATACATCCATGGCTGGAACCTTAAAAATGATAGTTAAAACTCTATAAAAGAATGAATTTATGCTTGATTTTACTTATGAAGTTGTTTGCTTTGATATACCTCCAATGTTTTGTTCATGTTTATAGCTTTAAGGACTTTTTTAGCTCGCCTCAAAGTACCAAATGTATTCTAAATATTCTATAATGTAGGTATATGGAGGAATCACAAACCTATCTATTAACTTCAAATCTACTTTATTTTCATTTCCCATATGAAGTCTATGTGATTTTCCTTGGTGCTCTTTAATGCCCTATGGCGTGGTTTGCAAAGATACATGTTTGATTTTTACAGCCTATCTGTGCAATAGGTTATTTTTCCTGTGTTTACAATTATGCAACGCTGCTGCTCTTTTTTTGTTTTATTTTTTTTTTTTTTCCTGGAAACTACCTTTAACAATTCGATGTGCATACCCAGACGGCTGCGCTGGAGCATCACTAAGAGGCGGGAGGCAGATGGACCAAAAGCTGTTGAGGAGGCAGCAGCAGCGATAGCAGCATAGGCGGCGATCTGCTTGTGAGTTGTTTTAGTTCATGCGATTCACACTATTAGAGCTCTGAAAAATAGCAGATTTTTTACTGCGCTACGTCCGCCTCACACGTCCGTCTTTTTTTTCTTTTCTTGACGTCAGGAGAAGTCTGAGCGCGGTCCCTGGTCCCTCCCTTTGCACACCACCAGCCGCACATCGCTCCACCGCCTGGAAAGACATCGCATCGTCATTTAGGTAGGTCACTTTTGCATGTAACCCGCATTGATGAAGTTGTTTAGGTCCCTTGAGCTGTTGTGTTGGTGCAAATGCCCTTTTCCAGCCATGTGTATAGAAAGCCTCTTGCCTTGTCTTCTTGTTTGAATCTGATTGCATGGAAATTGAAATAACCCAGATCTAGAAATCCACCTTCATTTGCATTTTCCTTCAAGTTCTCGGCCCTGTACCTTGCAGTCTTCACACGAGATGTATAGATTTCACATGCACTCTAAAATACATCATTATTATTGCCTGCATGCAGATCTCCACAGTGCTGTAGTATGTACCCATTTGTTTAAAGCACCACAGTTAAATATAGCTTGGTCCCCCAGCTGGTGTCTGCTGCCAGCTCTGTTGATTTTGCCTCTGCATGATGTCTTTTTTTCCCCCTGTCTGACACACCGTTTGCCCCACTTGTAAGTTATTTGTGTTTCTTTTATGAACATGACTGGCCCTTGTCAAACAGAGTGTTGCTTATGTTTGCTTTGGAGGTTTTCGTGTCACGAGTTCCCAGTGCACAATGACTGCATACTGTATACTCATCATGTCTTCTGCAGGGCCATATATATGTTCCTTATGGCGAGCACACAGCTTACTCATCAATTTTAGCCTGTGTGATCAGAGGCCTGCACTGCATTAGAAAAGCATGCAATATATGACCATACATAGTTCCCTCCATACAAGACTTTGTATCATACTGAATATTGAATATATGAAAAGGCAGTGTTGGGGGGTAACGGAATACATGTAATGCCGTTAAATATTCAGATTTTATTTTTCTGAGTAACTGTATTCCATTTACAGTAACTAATTTAAAGTATTTAATTTAGAATATGACTTACTGAAAATCACGGAAACACATACTTTCTTACATTACGTTTTAAGGTTAAAAAAGAAAAGAAAACATTAAAGTGAAGATTCAATTGTTCCTGCTTTTTAAATGTTTTGCAAAAATAAACAACACATCATCAGAAAAATTACAGTACAGGTTTTATTATTTCTACATATATTGAGGTTGTGGTTTTAAATATTTAGGCATTTACATCTATACGTTTTTTAAACAAACATACATTAACAACACGTATTAATAACAAAGAAATAATAATCAAAGTATAAGTAAAAGTATTCTAAGTTTTTCGGAATACAGGAACTACTTTATCTGAAGTAACAGAATACTATACAAATACATTTTAGGTAATGTATTCAGCATTCTGGATACAACACTGTGAATAGGTCTGGATCAGATCTTTGCTGGTCCTATCTTTCTCAAGAGTACATTGAATATAGTTTTAAGTCAGTCAATGATTTGATTTTTTCTCTATTTTAAGATTCCACTCTCTATGACAGCGTGTCTGTGTCTAATGGAACACAGACACACAGATCCTATGCCAAAAATCAATCGGTTGTATTCTGCCGCCCCTAATTGACATCATCTTTAATCAGCCATTGAAGAGTGGACATCACAATTTACCAAAGCCTGCCGTGCTCTATAGATATTGCAACGTTATAATGCTGATAGCAGAATCGATAACCTTTTACTTTACAGATAAGTGTTTGGAGAGTTGTGGGCCACTCACAGCTCCTCTCTTTTTCCAACAGCTGTGTTCTGGCAAAGTCTCTCAGTGCAGTAGGATGCCTCTCGGTGATGAGGACGGAAATGGGTGGAAAAAGAAGACTTCGGACATCAAAGACAACTACGATTTCAAAGAAGTGCTTGGAACGTAAGTACGACTCGGCGATTCCCTCTGGCTTTCCATTCTGTGTGAGCGTTGAGTGTTGAGTGATATTGAGCTGGAGATATTTTTGGGGCGCCTTCAATACAAGTACGGGACATAAGACATTAGAAGAGTAAATATGGCAACAGCATTTGACATTCATGATTTTTATTGATGTCAGCCTTCAAGGAAACTGAGCGTGATAATCTCCTTATTTTGCTGGTATCTGATCAGGGATGGATTGAGGGCAGAAGAATTACAGTTGACATTAGTAACTGGTTATGATGTTTTACACTTTTAAACCGGAAAGTTTTTTGACTGAAGGTTCTGGAGACGTTGTTCATAGCTCCCATCCTGCATTGAACACTGTACAATTTACTGTAGGTACTGTAGATGGCTTTATTATGTCATGTTTTAATTATGCCATGTTAAAATGAGATATACGTAGATAGTGAGAAAAATATCACATTGTTAGAATGAACTTTAGCTATTTAATGGTTTTCTGGATCATCTTTTGAGTCACTATATCTACCTCTTTGGGGCATCTCACTTGGGTTTTGGCACTTTTTCCATCAAACTGCATCTCAATCATTTGGTAAAGGCCTATAATATTGTTTTTGCTCTCTGTCACTTCTTTAGATCAGCTTTATCAGACAGAAAAGTGGAAAAGAGGACCATGCAGCCTCACTCCACTCACTCCGTCACGCCAATCAGCTCAAAGCCCAAATGGACATTAGTGACTTAAAAAGCACTTTTTATTTTCTTTATACATTTTTTCATGTATTCATTTATTTGACAGGGACATTGCAAGTCAACACAGAACAAAACAAGCTTCTAACTGAATGCAAGCGATGCAAAAAAAGTTTATAGCTATTGCTAATTTTCATCTCCAGTCCCTGTTTGGGCCTTTCTACACTACTTTAACATTTTCAATATTATCTTCAAAACCCACCCATATACACTGTTTACATCATTTACACACACAAACTACAAGCTATTTACACATTTGGGTACAGTTCTGTTTCGATTTCGGCCAGGACTAAACGAGAAGTGAACATTTTCATTTCAGTCATGGTTTTAAACTCAGTGGGTAATGAGTTCCACAACTTTGCACTTCTGTATGTATATGCAGACTGACCAAATGCGGTGAGAAACTGTACTGTTGTTATTGATGGAGCCTTCGCAGATTCTGTCGCTGTTCTGTTTCTTACAAGTATGCAAAATATTCAATCTAACATGTCATAGACTAGTATAGAACATGTAGGACAAATGACATTGGTTATTTGTGAAAAAAAAATGTTTTATTGCGATTGAATTCAACATAATCCAGTAAGATAAGATAAACTTTATTGATCTCACAATAGAGTAATGTATTGGGTCTTTTTCTGTGTATTAAATGGGAAGGTACAATTTTCTCCATCATGACAACAAGAAACCATTACGTACTTGACTTGAATTGATGACCACTCAGAGACAAGAGGTCAGACAAAGATACTCACTGCACTGCTTTTATAGACACACTTTTCATGATTACTCTCGCGTAGTCGGCGTCTGAACATTTCTACACTCCTGGGTTCTGAGTCATATGGTACTTTAGACAAGAATCATTTTAATTACATTCATTCTTGCAACTCTAAATTGTCTCCCCGTCCACCTTCCTGCTTCTGAAAGTTTTAAAATGATTACAAAGCCCATCCATTTCCATCCATTTTCTTCCGCTTTATCCGTTGCCGGGTCGCGGGGGCAGCAGTCTAAGCAGAGACGCCCAGACTTCCCTATCCACACACACCTCCTCAAGCTCGTCCGGGGGGACCCCTAGGCGTTCCCAGGCCAGCTGAGAGACATAGTCTCTCCAGCGTGTCCTGGGTCTTCCCCGGGGCCTCCTCCCGGTGGGACGTGCCCGGAACACCTCCCCAGGAAGGCGTCCAGGAGGCATCCTGAACAGATGCCCGAGCCACCTCAACTGGTTCCTCTCGACGTGGAGAAGCAGCGGCTCTACTCCGAGCTCCTCCCGTGTGACCGAGCTCCTCACCCTATCTCTAAGGGAGCGCCCAGCCACTCTGCGGAGGAAGCTCATTTCGACCGCTTGTATCCGCGATCTCGTTCTTTCGGTCATTACCCACAGCTCATGACCATAGGTGAGGGAGGGAACGAAGATTGACCGGTAAATTGAGAGCTTTGCCTTTCGGCTCAGCTCCCTCTTTACCACAACGGTCCAAATCCACAAAGCCCTCATAAAGTTAATCAAAAATGAAAAGCAGAGGAAGCGGTTGGACTCCTGCCCAAACCTGGTTTAAGGATTGCCGTTTTTCAAATGGTCTAAGTGAGAGTTGGACCATGAATTAAAGTTATGGGATAATATACTTTATGCTCCCATCAGCACTTTCAAAAACGATCAGCCATTATGTTGTTGAAGGCTATTGGAGGAGTATTAAAGTGTTGAGTTGGGATTTTATGACACAGAAAGAAAGAGCAAAACCATACAGTACACAGTAATGAATGCCATTAAAAGGTTTTTTTTTTTATTTGTTTACTTGATCCATTTTCCATCGCTCTAAGCCAAAGACACCCACTGGTTTGCCTGATGAAATACCAAGGAGCTTTAGTTTCTCTTCTTCGTCCCATTAACATTTTCATAAACTGAATACAGTGATTGGTTCATTAATGTACATTTTGAATCCTTTTAGCCATATTTTGGACACAAAACGTCTTTTATCCTTTTATCGTCAGTTCTGTGAAGCCAGGTATTGTCAATTATTTCATTTTTGATTTCATTTTCAAATGATTACATAATTGACTTGTTCTGGGGAGATCTCAAATGTGATTTCAAGGAGTTGAGTGGGCAGCGTTACCATTACCGGAGGATAAAGAACCTCATTCACAACTATAGATGTAAAAACTGGCAATAAAACGTTGCTGAGAAGTGGGGGGTGGACACTTCTAATCAGGGTCATTTGAGTAGTTTCTGTCATTATGATATGAAAATAGAAAACACGTTCATCTGACAATAGATGGCCTCACAAAACCCACTCCCAATTACATTTCCGCCTCATGTTGTTTGAACGCAGCAGCAGTCTTTCCCTCATCCTAATTATTTGTGCTCTGAGACCTTGGGTTGTAATAGTTGCCTCTCGGGGATGAGTCCAGATGGTCCCAGATTCACCCCCTCCTCACTGAGTACAAGTGACCCAGCACACGTCCACCTGTGCGGACACGACAGCGCCATACGGAGGCTCCATGTTTCAGTCCTCTCCCAGCTACACCTGCTCCCCCAAGGCACAGAGACAGAGCGACAGATTCACATATTAATGACGGTGCATCTCTTTCCCCCTTCTAAAATAAAGTGTGATGAGATGATGGATGAGAGTGTCGGGACAGGCAGGGCCCGTGGGAGGAAGACTCAGTCCGTGCTCACTGCTCCCATGTAAAGGGATGCACTCAAGGCAAAGACAAAAGCAAGTAACACTTAACTACTTTATACCATACTTCTATTTATTGGACAAAGTATTCTTGAAATGAGCTTTATGTATGAGGTAAACTCATACATAAAGGTAAAGAATATCCTGGGTTTGAATACTGGTTGGAACAGGATCTTTTCGATTGGAGTTTACATGTTCTCCCTGTGCCTGCATTGGTTTCCACTGGGTGCTCCAGTTTTCTCTGGGTGCTCCAGTTTTCTCTGGGTGCTCCGGTTTCCACTACAATGTACAATAGGTAAAAATCCTTCAGCTCTGGTCCTGACCAAGCCCAGAATCAATATCTAGAGATGGGTTTCCAGGCGCTGCACTACGGCGACTACGGCATTAGGGTCAAATGCAGGGTCAAATGCAGAGGATGAATTGCCCTGAGGGGATAAATAAAGTACACCTTTAACTTTAGGGTGGACTACCTAACTTTGAGATCACAAAATAATTAACGACCATTCTGTGTGGGAATGTAATGTAATGGAACCATTTAGTTTTATCAGTAGATAGAACAAAAACAGCTTAAACTGTTTTTTGGGTTACATCTTTAGATCAGAATTTCAAGTGAAAAAGAATACTAGCCCTTACTCAGCCAATCAAAAACATGTATTTATCTGTTTTTCACCAAGATTTCTACAGCATGTTGTGTTCTCTTTCTGTTGGGGCAAACAAAGGTATGTATGAGACAAAAGTTTATTACTTCAGCTTTAGATTTAAAACACTATGGGGACGACGTTACATTTGAGTGAGAAACGATACATCCAACTTTAAAACCTCTGACCACAGCCTAAACATAGTTGTTTTTCCTGCTGCAATCGACTTATTTTACCTGTGACGTTCAAAATTGCACCGCGGCTCTTTCCAAAGCACGGAGCCGGGAAAAACAACAAAAAGTGATGGCACAGGATTTAAAACACTTCTTCATCAAAGCTGGACGGAACAGAGGGCAGATAATGTGTTGACTGAAAGCTCCTTATGCTCAGAGAGGAGATTACAGAGCCGCTTCATCCAGGAATTCACTGAGACAAGTTAATTGATTTATGTTCAAGTATTATTTTCAGCCCCAGTTAATCCCCACAATTGTACCTTCATTTCTTTTAGATAACAAGCCTGAACATGTGGTTGTGGTTAAAAAACACATAAGTCACAAAAATAGTTTATTCTTGTACTCTTAAAGCATTATTCATTCTTGCAGTTGCTTCCAGATGCAATGCAGAGTCACAAACTCGATTACTCTAAAAGGAGAAAGCTCTCTGGTTGTGGCTGGCTGTGTTTTGTATGTATATATTTGCTGTGCTGGTAAAATCAATGCGGTGATGGATGCTTTTGGCCTCTGCACTCCTGATTAATGATGTGGATCAACCGCATAACCTCAGGACTGCTTTTCTGCATACCTTTCCTGAATGCATGTGATATAGCCTATGCAGTTTGGGAATCCACATTTGCAAAGAGAGGGCTGCAACAATAATACTGTGATATTATTGTGTCACTGTATTGTTGAATTATTTTGTTCTTGGAAGCTGACGTTTTCAAATCACCTTC